CCGCTTCCGGGCCTCTCTGCGCCCCTCCGAGGCTCTGCCATCCGCCTGGGTGCGAGGTCCCTGGCCTCGCCCCTGGTCAGACTCCATTCCGCTCCAGCTCAGGCTTTAGAGAAGATGTGAGCAGAACATTCCAGAAGCAGTCAGGGCCGAAGTCTTCGGGCCTGAGTGGAGGCTGCTTTCCCAAGGGTTCGGAAGCGAAGGGATCCTTGCTGTGAGGGGTTCGTAGCAAAGACAAGGATTGAGTGGATGCCTCATCATTGCCATGAGTGAGATGTACTATTTTGTTCGAAGCACTTAGCAAGTATTAATCACCTAATCCTGGTGATGGGGAAACTGAACAACAGAGAGGTTAAGTAGTTTGCCCAAGGTCGCTCAGCTGGTAAGTAAGAGGGTCCAGATTTAAAACAGGTGGTCTCAGAGTCCCTGTGTTTTTAACTGAGCTAATGGCTACTTCTTAATATCTGCTATGTGTTTGGCCACAGCAGTCAGTTCACCAGCAAGCTCATTTGCCAGATACATAATAGGGAACCGAGCAATTTGAGATTAATCAGAATGTACCGTCCTCACCTATACTAAGTTATGAGAGCTGACTGATATTTCGTAATAGTCCAAATCACCTCTTTTTCCCACTTCTTTACTCCAGCCTCACAGTAGGAATTTGGATGAAATACTTAGAGCCTCTGAGAGTCTCAAACACACAAATACTTTGCCTTAATTACCAATAAACAGATTAAAAATTAATAAATATGTATCATGGTGAAACTAAAAAAAGAAAAAAGGAGAAAACCTGCATTATAGAAGAACTTTCAAAATAAACTCATCATTTTTATTGGCCCTGGATGGAGAATTTAAAAATATAACTATAACTTTACCTTAACGTATAGTAGGCCATGTTATAGCAGACTCCAGGCTACCATTCTTAAATGATCTCCTCCATCAAACTTGGAAATTGTTCATAAGAAATGCCACAAAAAAGTTGTAACACTATAGTTAATTCTGTCCCCAGTGCCAAAGTTATAAAAAGTTTATCACAGTTGCTCTCTTAAGTAAAGTCTACTATTAAGGTTGCCAAATACAAACTTTATTTCTTTCGAAGAGGCCCAGCATGCCTCATGTATTAACAGAAGAGAATAATCAGTGTATGTTCCCCTAATTTATATTTGTTCAAAAGACAGACCACTACCAAAGAAATGTCTATATCTATATCTATATTTAAATCTATATATACACACACAAGCTTCAAATTTTTAAGTAGGAATAAAATAATGTATCTGCAGCTTGATATACCTACTATAAGAATGTCTGTCCTGGGAGCAATTGCCCCACAAACACTCTGGGCCATATCATAGCCCCATTTGTCTGACATTTTTCATTGGTGTAGTTAGAGGGACATTATGGTGTTGGCAATGCCCACCATGCACTGGGTAACAGAAATTAACCTCATGCATTCATCTGCAGTAATACCACAAGGTCAGGTAAGAATCAGTGTCAGATTGGATTTTTATTTATCTCTAAAGGCCTTCAGGGCTTAGTTTAAACTTGAAAATATTTATGATCTAGAAACTAGCAATAGATCTGAAAACACAACCCACAGATTCCATCCCAAGAGTTGTTATATTTGATTTTCTTCCTTAAACCAGCCTCATTGTTCTTGTTTATGAATCTACTGGTGTAGCCCTGCATAACTAATGGAATGATCCCAAATTACAGCTAAAATCTGTTCTTCCTGATTTGTTGCAAAGCAATGAAAGATAACTACATCTGAAATTGGGAAACAGCAGATGCTCATACATTTCTTCATTAAATAAACATCAAGATACCTGCTGATTGAAGTCATTTTGGGGTTTGGATGTGAATGGCTCTATAAAACCCTTCCCATATGTTAGCTACTATTAAATTCAACAACTTTGCTCTGGCTCCCTCTAAATCAGAGGTTATTAAATCCTTATTAAAACTTGAAAATGTTCTGAAGTAAAATTGTATTGCACACTTGCAAAGAAGCAATAAACAGCCATTTTTAGCAAGCAATTTTAAAAATTATATATATGGTAGGATGGGGACCAGAGGTCAAGTCACTCAGAAAATTCACGACACCCACCTAGATGGCTTTTGTTTAAATTACCCAGCTAAATGAGAAAATATATTTGGTTTAAATCATTTACTTTACATTACTTCTTAAACCTTCTCAAAAGTTTTAGCAAACCAAATCATCTGGAGAAATTGTAAGATGTGACAATAACTACCAAGATAATCACCCTCAAAGAGGAGGTGATGATAGCAAGTTAATGAATGTCATTATTGAAAATAAGAAGACTATTACCACTACTTATTGTGCAGGTTAACATAAGCTTTAAAATTTTTTTTAAAACTATAATTGATAACTGTAAAAGTATGAATTTATATTAGATGATGGATTTAAAATATTCAGATATGAAGTATTAGGATATTACGATATGAAGTGAATTCTATAAGGATTGCTTAGCATGTGCATGGTAGTTACTGAGAGAAGTGTAAGATAGCATGAATTATATAATAATGTCAGGATTTATCTATAGGCAGGCTGGAAAACTGGGGCTCCAAATAACTTCTTTTCCGCACCTGGGTTGTTTATGTCCCCTCTTTGTATATAAGGGCACAGCCCTCACAGGTCTCTCTTTTTTTCTCTTTGGAACATTTTCATTTCCTTCATTTTCTTGTACGTAAGGAAACAGAAATGGAAATACTCAGGGAACTGTCCAGATAATTCTCAAGAACAAAAATCTTCCATGAAAGGAGAACTGTAGCCTAACTCCCCGAATGGGCTGTTGGCATTGATTTAACTGACCTTGTGCTTTCTTTGGCCTGTGCAGGCATTAGCTTATTAAAGGCATGCTGTAAGTGGGAGGAGGAGAACTGGATGTAAATGCCTTTGGAGCATCTTTTTTCTTTCCTTTTCTTTCTTCTTTCTTTCTTTCTCTTCTTTCTTTCTGGTTTGTTGTTGTTGTTGTTATTGTTGTTTGTTTGTTTCTCTTTGGTGGATATGGGAAAAAAAATTAAAGAAAGCAGTCCCTGATTTAGTAAAGAACAGAAGAGGAGGAGGGGAAAAAGCTACAGGTACATTGCCATGAGTACATTGTGACCACCATTTTACCTGTGCAGGCTTAGTTTTCTCATCTAAAATCTGGGAAGTCACACTGATCCAGACATTCCTTCTCTGGCCTACATTTCTGATGCTTAGGAGAGCCAGCACCTGACAAAGCCCATATTACTTCCTCCCTGGTCACAGACTCAAATACATGTTTCCAGAATGTCATTTCAAATCTGAAGCTTTAAGTTTATGCTTCACTACTGGTCCTTTGCACTATATTTATAGAACACACTGTACTACATATAACTGCTTGACGTTTTTCTGTTAATCAACAGGGCCTCTGCTCTCACCAACAATGACAGTAATCAAGTGGCTTTTACTGTATGTACCAAGCATGTTAAAATTCCAAGAAAGAAATTTCATAAGCGACTATTTGATATGACAGATGAATTCCTGAAAGAAGTTGTGTCAAACTGACTTCAATGGTGAACAAAATGCTACCATTTCATTTTTTAATATAATTATTTCAGTTAAGCTTTTATGATATATCCTGATTGGAAGTGACTAAAAAAATTCAACTTTTGGTTTCTCTACTCTAATTCCCCCGGTCATTCTAACTTACTAAATAGATTGCATGGATACCATAGATATGTCTAAAATGAGTATCAGGAGTAAAAAAGAAAGAGAGGACAATGGGAAGACTATTAACTATATTGAAATATGTTTTGCTTTAGATAATTATAATATTTGTGCTTTTTACCTTCATAAATTTGTTATTTGCAATGGTCCTTATGAAATACAGAAAATGCTTTAAAAATTAAATGATCACTTAATAGCTGTTTTTCGCTATATAAAATGTAAAACTGATAATAAAGTGGCAGTGAAAGAATAAGATAAAGGGTCATTCAGACAGCTATATGTTAAGTTAAAATGTTTAGTGAGTACTTGACAGCAAGATTTGTGAAAGACAAACGAGAGGTGAGAATTGTTGCTGAATCTCCAATTGCTATTTTAAATCTTACATGGTGAAGATTTGCAAAAATTTCAAATTATTTTAGCTAATAAAGAGTGCTTAAATAACTGTAGCCACAGTAGCTACATGCTTCATTCAAAACTAATAAAGCCAGTAAGTTAATAACAGTAATTAACTCCCACTGCACTATACTCTCTTCTATAGATGCTTTGTAACATACAGTTGATATTCAAGGAGTTCGGAAAAGCAAAACACAGAAAAGACATGATGTGCATGTGATGGGGAGAAAATCTTGTATCAAGAAAAATAAATGTATTTGCTGCATAACTGTGTATGCTCCCACAAGAGCTATGAGCTTATGAGAACACAGCAGATCATTAATTCATAAATAACCAAGAATGGCAAGCACAGTTTCTCTGTGAATATCCAGTAATTCTTCAAGAGCCTTTTAAAATACCTGGTTAACTACAACATTGGGTGAAAGGATTATCAAAATGAAAACATTTTGAAGAGAAGGGTCAAGGAGATTCAGAAGATGGGGAATTAAACTGAGACAGTTGGTAGGAAGTGGCATGTAATATATGCTGAATGCACAGCATAAAATGTTCTTATTCACTCAGAAATTATTTCAGCTAACATTCTGAAAGGTCTCTAGAGGTAGCGGGTTAAATGTCATTTTGTGATTTCCTTTTGCTTTTTTTTTTTTAATTTCCTTTTATACACCTTATACAAAAGGCCATTCGTCAAGTTCAAGAATAGGAAGGACACCGTGCCAGTGGGCTGTTGTTGTTGTTGCTGCTGTTAAGAAAGGGAGTTTACATCCCAGCATGGTGCCCAAAATGGTGTCCAAAGTGCCTCCAGAGCAGCTGCAAAGCAAATGGAATTTCTACAGCAACTCAAGAGCTACGGAAACCAGTCTATTTGCAGAGAATTATCTAGATGGGACCCATATTCTATTGATTTGAGCAGTAAAAGAAAAAATAAACCTTTATTTTCTTGTGTATTTTGTGAGACACGCACACACAAGAAAAAAGGACTCAAAGCAACAAACAAAACACACTTAGAAACTCCGTGGGGAAAAAGGTCAGGCTACTATTGACAAGTATGTAAAGACACCTCCTAAACCATGGGAAAACATGTAGAAATCGTTTCGACTCACTGCATTCAGAACCCATGGAAGGGAATCACAAAACTGCACTTTGGCATTGTTGGCCTGAAAGGATATCTATTTATCATCTTATAAGACAGCTCGAATGATCTTTATCTACTTTGCCCACTTTCTGACCCAAATTCAGGGTTTTTATGGAAAATTGCAGTCAGTTTGATTGATGAAATCCAAAGATGTCTAAAATGGCACCAAAGATCTCCAACTGTGCAGACTCCAACCGAGGGCTTCAATGTTGGCATTGTTCCTGAAGGAATAAAAAAAAAAAAAGAAAAAGAAAAACTTGAGAAAAACAGGCAAAAGTTAGAGAATTTCTGCTTTAAAACTTCAAATTTCAATGAAGATCCCCAAACCCATTATCCCTGTTCACACGTGCGAACTGGGCGGACATCAAAGTATTTCCCACACATTGCAACAAAACCGGGTTTCTCTTGAACCAACAAACCTTTTTTGTAACCGGCTGAATGGCTGTATCTACGGAGCCAGCAGGTTGTAGAAAGGCGCTCGCAGCGTGGAGGAGCCGGTAGTTGGAGAACCAGGCGCGCCTGATGGGGCGCAGGAAGGAAAAACTGACCGACGCGATGGCCCCTGCCACCGGCCATTTGGGGCTTTCAAACGCCCTAACGAGGAGGAGTCCGAGCGGCCACTGAAAGCCTCCCTGTTCCTGGGCAGGGCAGCCAGAGTGCACTCCCCTCTCCCGTCCCAGCCTCCCGGCGGCGCCACCATTAACCCGGAGCCAGACCCAGGCGGAGGCCCCGGCGCCAAGGCCCGCGGAAGCAAGAGACAGCCGTGATAGTCTTCGAAACCCGGTCCAATTTCTAAGACGGCGCATTATAGTGGAATATTGTCACCTGCCTAATTGTTCTAAGCTGGCCTTCGCCCCTCCCCCATTAGTAATAAGAGCTTAAGCGCTCTTCCTCCCCGGTTACCAGGTCCGGGAGCTGATGAATGAACCCTCTAGTAGGGGAAAATCTTGGGAGCTGTCTCCTGTCCTATTACCCAAGGGGGCCGGCTATAAATCTTCCTTCATTTTAACCACATTTACCCTCATCCTCCGGGCTAGGGATGCTGCGTTAAGATTGCACTGATGTGCCAATGCTCTGGACCAGCTGCTCCTAAATACAGACAGGTCCTTGTCAATTAAGGCTTTGAGAAGCAGGTCCTCGGGCCCTGGGGCATTGGAGCAGCCAGCAGCGTGCAGCCCCCACAATTAGTATCCATTTGGAAGGGACCTTCAGGGCACAAATGCACAGGCAAAGGAAGAATCAAAACACCAGGCAACTTCAATTCTGGAAATTGGTCTTGTAAGTGTTGTGAAACTGAACAGACGGCCTCCAAGAAGGGAGCTAAGATTTCTGGTGCGAGATGGGCCTCTCCTGCCCCCCTTCCCTAGATCATCCCTTTGTTTTGTTTCAAGCCCGGCAGTAGATTGAGTTTGTGGATAGGTTTGGGGGGAAAGGAAGATAAATGAATACATTCATTTGCCCGTTCCAAGCTGAGGTTGTCTTTTGTGGCCACCTCAAGCAGCTGGTCAATCCTGCCCAGACCCTGGCCTTTGGCCCAGGGGGCGCTGGACAAGACAGGCGTTCCAAGGAGAAGAGCTGCGATGTATCAGGTCAGCGAGGCCAACCCGCCGGTGGGCCAGGCAGGACATTAGCAGCTAAACAAAACCCAAAAGGCTCAGGGGGCCTGGGGCACCACTAGGGAAGGTGTTTGTTGAAGCAATTAGGAGCAGTTGGTAGTTAGGGGCGGAGAAGAGGGCAAAGCTTGTGACACAGGGCAACTTAGCTGGACAGCAAGGGTGGACATTCAGAGGACATCACTGTTTAAGAATGTGTGACCCCACCAAGTTCAAGAACAGAGCAAACAGCACAGGCCATTAGGGACAGCCGTCAAACGGATGGCAACAAAACCAAGAGGGGCATTGAGAAAAATCTTTCAATATTAAATATGGAAAAGTATTAGGGACCAGGGCAGAGGGTCAATGAAAGTCAACAAGGGTGTCGGCTTAATGAGATAAAGAATTTAGTATCAAAAATGCATAAATCTGCACGGAAGGCAGCCCTATAATGGAGATAAAAGAACCAGTTCAGTCAACATTCTGTGATAATGGCACCACAATAGATAGCATCAGGTTTTTAACATTGAACACAAAAGTTAAGAGAATGAAAGGAAAGGCAGCTCCCTTAATTGAGAACCTGCTGGAAGATTTCCACAGGCCAAATGCCTTGCTGGCTGCTTTGCAAACGTTCTGAGCCTCTGAGCCTCAGGAGAAAGGTGGGCCTCTTTTTTGGGGGGGGGGGGGGGGGGGGGGGGTTTCCACCCAACCTTTTCCCCTTACAAGGCTTCCCCGCTCAGAGGCACACATTTTCTCTATAAGAGTCAAAGTCCTTTCTCTCAAAACACACTGTGATTTTCCTCCACCCGTTTCAGCAAGGAGATAAGGTTTCTTTTAAAATTTGCTTCACCTCCCTAACCTAAGTAAGCTAACAAAGTTCTTAGCAAGGAATATATTATAAAAAAGAACAGTTTAGGTTTTATTTTAGTTTTCCTGCTAAGAATAAAAACACGTATTTCTTCAGAAGGGAGGATCAGCCCAAAAGCTTCAAAAGACTTTTTCACTGTCCTCACTTTTTTCCAATCAATAACGAATCTTATTTTCAAGGAATCTTCCAAGCTGCAGAGTCCTTAACAATCACTGAAGCTTAACGAAGCAAATATTTCTGCTGTATGTGCCAGAACTCTCTGGGATTTCACCTATACATGAAAAAGACCGTCTCTTTAATATCCACAGGTGGATGCTGAAAATCAAGGAGAGAATGTCCTATCCTGACAGCAGTATGGCAAGTGGTATGTCATTTCAACAGTGTACATCTGCTGCCCAAGACTCTAATTGTTGCCGCACCAAAAGAAAGGGGAAACCTATCTTCCAGGCACTCATTATTTGGGGATGCCTTCTACAGAGTGGAGTCATAGCTTCTTGTTTGTATTTTTTATTTCCATGATACTTGATAGTTTTCAAAACACATTTACACACATTATCAGAGTTGATCCTCACAGCTATTTGGTAGAGTGAATGGGGCAGGCATGATTATTCCCACTGTCTGTGAGAGGAAGCAGATTCAGAAATGTCAAATAAGCCAACTGACTTTACTAGATCAATGACAGTCCGATTCCTAACCTAGTGTGCGTTTTACATCTTCCCTGTACTTTGTCCTCCACGATTTGGAACTGGAGGTTCAGAGGCATGGTCAGAAACTGTTATCTCCCTCAAGCCTGTGTAGACACTTTGATGTTCATGCCTATAGGGGCTGTGAATAGTGCCTGTTTTAGAACACTAGACGCCTTAGGGGACTTGCAGAGCATGCATCCAATGCCCTCATTTTACAGAAGTCAAAACTGAGGCTCAGAGTCCTTCAGTGCCTGACCAAGGTCCCCAAGACAGGAGCTGGTAAACCTAGGCTGAACCAAAATCCTGTAGTCCCACAAACAAGTTAAATCAGAAACCCTCCAGTATCCACTACACCCAATTTTCTGGTTTTCATTGTTTATTTCTTTGTCTTTCATCTCATATGGGATTATCTCCTGACAAACATTTTTGGACTCAAAGAATGAGTAATGGCCAGTAAATGAATAGATGGGATTAGGGAGACTAATCAAAGAGACACCAGCTTGGACCCACCTCCAGTGACATTGACAGTGATAACGTGAAAACCATACTGCACACATTTGGATGTCTTGTGTGTGTGTGTGTGTGTGTGTGTGAGAGAGAGAGAGAGAGAGAGAGATAAAGTTTTGCTCTGTTGCCCAGGCAGGAGTGCAGTGACTTGATCTCAGCTCACTGCAACCTCTGCCTCCAAGGTTCTCCTGCCTCAGCCTCCTAAGTAGTTGGGATTACAAGCATGCACCACCACGCCCAGCTAATTTTTTGTATTTTTAGTAGAGATAGGGTTTTGCCATGTTGGCTAGCCTGGTCTCGACCTCCTAACCTCAGGTGATCCACCTGCCTCGGCCTCCCAGAGTGCTGGAATTACAAGCATGAGCCACTGTGTTCAAAAAAAAAAAAAAAAGGGAAAATAATGTGTTATAAGAAAAACTGGCCCCACAGTTTTGTGTTTGTTTTGATTTAATTTGATACAGCTGCTAAGTCAAGGTCTTGTTCCTGCAACTGTCACTTCTCTCACTCTTAAACAAGGAAAGCCCAGGGCACGGGGCCTATGTTCAACAGAGCTTACTCTGGCAAGGCCAGCCTCAGCTCCTCCCATATTCTTCTGCAGGCAGAAACATCAGGGACAGTTAGGAGCCCAAACCTATCAGGGGGTGGATAAGACTCTATACCATCACACTTGGGAGTCACTCTAGCCAGCTGACTTCTAAGAGCCCTTCCATCTCTAAATTCTGAGATCCTGTCCCGATCTTCTGACTTGTAGCCAGCTGGGACTAAGTAGGCAGGAGATGACTGGTAGGAAGGCCCTGGCAGGTAATGCTCCCCACCCCCCCACCCCCACCCAGAGGATGCCTTGGGGAGCAAAGCTGGCTCTGGCATCTCCAGGCCCATGCCAGCTGGAGTGACCAGACCAGGCGATTTCCACGGAATCCTCTGAATCATTCCCATCCTCTTACCACCATCAACTCCCTCCTGTCTTGGCACCTGGCAACCGACCAGAGTGCATGGCGCCAGCTTGGCACTTCCAGGGCTTGCCTCCTCCTACCCTTGCCAGATCTGGTCATTGAGAGCACACGTGGGGCACCTGGCTGCTCCTGCCCACTGGCCCTGTCCCCCAGCTGCACCTCAGACAGCCGGGACCAAGCAGGGCATCAGCACTCCTGAGAGCTGCCGTCCTCCCTGAGAGCTGCTGTCCTCCCTCTCCACCTTTTCAGCCCCCACTCCCATGCCAGCTACCAGGGGAGAGGATTTGGGAGACCAGACCACTGCCTGGAGCACCAAGTGTCTGTAGACCACCTTGTAAAACTCAGGACACCCAGAACAGCACACCCGTGCTCCACAGCATAAACAGGGAGAAACCTGTCTTCACAGGGAGGAACTGTCCTCCACAATTTGGAAGGACAATGTGAATTCCAACATACACCAGAACCCAAACTAGAGGTGGACCAGACGGGACTAGAATTTGCAGGTTTAAAGCTTTTTTTTTTCTATAGAAAAATGTAAGTTAGCTAAATGCAACAAAGATTTTCCGCAGGTTCAGGAGGTCAAGCAGATGTAGACAAGCGCAGGGGAGTTATTTATGTCAAGTTGGGTTATTGTAAAGGCGAGAGAGAGAATCACCCAGGCGGCTTAGGCAGCCAGTGGGCCTGCTCGGGGTCAGGGTGGCAGGCAGTGTGTCCATCCTGGCGGGACAGTAATTGCCCCGGGTCTGACACGACGCCGGGAGCTCAGGGCACCTCCATCCATCTCCATCCAGTTAGCGATGCGCCCCCCGACCGGGCGGGTGGCCCGGCTTGGGCCTCAGCTCGGAATAATGAGAACAATTGTCTCCCAGCCTGGCACAGCCCTCCACCACTCCTACGGTTCCATGCCCCTCTCATTTCTCCAGCCCTGCTTGTTCCCCAGCCTTGGCGATGGGGATCAGGTGGGAGGTCAGCTCCAGATGCAGTTGCCCTGAGCTCAGAGAGCAGCTAAGTCAGGGTGCCCCCGGAGGAGATCGAAACCTCGGCCCCCACTGCCCTCCACTTTGCCTCCTCCAGCCACTAACCCACCTCTTTCTCCACCTGTCCAGCGAATCCAGCTGCCCGGCCTTTCCCTCTCACCCAAGAACCCCCGGCTCCTGCCTCTAGAATTTTCCACCAGCACTGGGGGCTGGTAAAGATTCTGCCCCCTCTGACAATTTAATAGTCTCAAGTCATCATCTGCGTGACACTGGCCATCCATCTTCTCCCAGGGGAGGACAAAGCCGGGCCTCCCGACTCCAGGCCTCTCCCTCCCCAGCTCTTTCTATTTTGGGACAGCCTCACCACAATGGCGTCCTTATAAACCATAATGGCGATGTTTATGAAGGCCGCAATACCAGTGTATGAAGACAATTTTATGCCTAATTAGAAAATGATGTAACTAGAGAGAAGACAAAGGGAAGCTGTCCCCCTCCCGTTTCTCTCTCTTCAATCACACCCCCTCCCCAAATTTCCTAGGGCAGGACCCCTTGCGAGTGCTTGGGGCTTCAGGTCTCTGTTTTGACAGTAGCTGGGCTCCCCGCGCCCCGCTGGCCCTGGCCGTGCGACCAGCCGGCGGCCGGCACGTCCCGCCGCTCCGGGAGAAGGCTGGGGAAGGGGATAGGGGGAGGTCGCCGCGGGGAGGGGACAGAGGCAGGCACAGAGTCTTAAAGAGATTTGAGACTCGCGCTCCTGCACTTTCTATCCCACGCGCCCCCATCCGAGGGGACCTCACCCCTGGGAAGACTCCAATAAATGCAACCCGGCGCCACTCGATTCCAGGATAATTTTTAATATATATGCAATAAATGTTCACTTTGTTAGATTGAATGACAGACAATAATATCGGCAAATCTTCATATCCATCCATTACCAGCAAATGAGCCGCACAAAGGACAGATTTGCTTTTGATTAATTTATTTGCAGACTCGGGTTGATAAAGCAATAACTATTTGGTTAAACTTGACATTTGGTCTTCAGGGGGTTATCAGACAAATCTCTGTCGCTCGGAAGAGATAATAAAGCTGTTTAAAGGGGATTAATTATTAATTGGCTGCAATTAATTTCCCCCCTTTGCTCGGCTGCTGCCACAATTCGCATCCTTCACCCACAAACAAAAGACAGAGGTTTGCCCTCCCCCCACCCACTGACCTGAGGCAAGGAGGGGATCCCCAAAGCCTTGAATGAAGATGTGATCTCTTGCACCCCGGTTATTTCAGTGCAGACTATTTTAATGAACCTTTGGCAAAACCTGTCCATATTTGTCCCTGGCAGCTTTTCTGGAGTCGAGGGTGCGATTAAAGATCAATTTGAGGATCGTGGATTCGGAGCTGATTTTCTAGTCTCAATATTTTTTATTGTAAGGACATCAGCTCACACCGTTGTTACATCTAAATCCACACTCCCAATTTATTTCCTTGGGGCAGCGGTTTGGCGGCTGAGCTGGAACCTGGGTGTGGAAGAATCACAAGCCCGCCCTGCCGATAACGCGGAGAGGATTCCTTCTTTCCCCCTTTCCCACCTCGAGCCCTGCCGCGGAAACCCTTCCCGTTGCCTCCCTGGCCTTGAACTCGTCCCGATGACTGCAGGATACCAGGGCCGGAGGCCAGACTCTACTCCCGCGCAGA